GAAGCGCGAAGTTGGGAGCCCTAGGTGCTTCTCCCCTGAAGAGTTGGAACCTGGAGCCCCAGCGCTCACGTGATGTATGAGACGACGAGGAAGGAGTCTTTTCACAGACAGCTATAACCTGTCATCCGCCACGGTTTCACTCGCGATCAGCGCGACGCGCGCGCACTTCGTCAGACGCGCAGTTTCGCCGAGGTTTGGGCGTCCCTGGCCCCCTCGCGCTGCACATGCCATTCAACGATCAATGTCTGATTCGACAGCTGGATTGTCGAACGTAAACGCTTGAGCGCAATGGGGAGGAACGGGAAGGAGGGGTAGGATGTCAGATGTGGCATGGGCGCTCGCCTAGCTTGCCTGATCCTTCTCTCCCTTCTCCGCCTCGGTGTCCAGCTTCAGGATGAGGGTAGGCACGCGGAGGACAAGGAGGTGGTGGAGGATAAGGCTCGTGTCCACTGCGACCGCGCGCTCACGCCGATCCCTAGCGGGGCTCGTGTGACGGAAGGAGAGGGACGAGTCGAGGATCGAGGTCCGAGGATTGAAGCTCGAGGATCGATGTTTCGAGCGCCTGTGGCATTTCCCAGGCCTCCCGAAGCCTTCGGGGATCTTCAGGGACTTCTGGAGGGGAGTCGGGGGGCAACGGACAAACGAGATTAGTTGGAATCTCTCTCTCTCTCTCTCTTTGTCTCTTTGTCTCTGTCTCTTGCTCTTGCTCTGTCTCTGTCTCATTCTCTGTCTCTGTCTATTTTTCTGACTCTCTCTCTCTCTCTCTTTTATTGTTGTCTCTCTCTCTCTCTCTCTCTCTCTCCCCTTGAAGCACGTCTACTATTACTTGAGATCTTCGGTACTTGTGTTCTGCTATTTCACAACCAGAATTTTGTCGGAACACAATTGGAATCTAATCTGGGAGCCTAACCTGCTCCATCCGTATTGGAGTCATATTGGAAACCAATCTAGACCCTCTGCACCTGGAATCTGCACTTGACATCCCATTTGACATCCCATTGAGTCCCTCTCTCTCCTTCCATCTCCCCCTCCTCCCACCTCCTTCCCGCCTCCTGGCGTTGTGGCTATCTGCCTCTTCCTTTTTTCATATTTTCGTTGTCTCTTGGCGGTGGCGTAAGTGGCTCGACTCCAAGCGCTACCTGCCCGATGCAGCCCGCTCGGTGCCGAGCACGCCCAGCAAAGCCGTCGTCGGGCAAAAGCATCCCCCTCCTCGCCCCTCCTCTCTCCCCTGGTGCCCTTCTGCTTCCTCCCGCCCGCCCTCCCTCCCTCCCCTCCCCCCCCTCGCCGCGGGGAGCGGCCCCAGGCGACGGCGCCAGCGACTGCGGCGAGCGCCGTGGCCGGCGCCTGGTCCGGGCGCGCATCGTGGTGCCGAAGGCGCCGATGGCACCGAGGATCCGAGGAGGAAAAGGTACCGATACCGCTACCCTTCGCCCGTTTTCCCATGATTCCGCCTCCTGGTCCTGGGAGGCCCCCTCGTCGCCACCGCTGGACCTGCGTCGAACAATTCTGGTCAGAACGCGCCCTCGGAGAGGTCTTGGGAGTAGCGGTATATCATATCATATGTCTGTCTGTCTGTATGTATGTATGTATGGATGCATGTATGTATGCATGTATGTAAATATGCATGTATGCATGTATGCATGTATGCATGTATGCATGTCTGTCTGTCTGTCTGTCTGTCTGTCTGTATGTATGTATGCATGCATGCATGCATGCATGCATGCATGCATGTTTGTATGTATGTATGTATGTAATGTATGTATGTACGCAAGCATGTATGCATGCATGCATGCATTCATGTATGCATCTCCCTATGTACAGGTAGACATGCATACATCCATCCATATATATATATATATATATATATATGTATATATATATGTATATATATATAGATATATATATATCTACATATATATATCTCAGAGTGAGGGGGCCGAACGGTCATTCACTGTCACTGGGTGCGTGGCTGAAGTGGAATTCCGCGGTGCGGATTCTCGTTGTCGTTTGTTGTTGTTTGTTGTCGTCGTCCCACCCGCAACCCGCCCCGCGACGCACCCGCGACCCACCCCGCGACCCACCCCGCGACCCACCCGCGACCCACCCGCGACCCACCCGCGACCCACCCCGCGACCCACCCCGCGACCCACCCCGCGACCCACCCCGCGACCCCCCGCGACCCACCCCGCGACCCGCCCGCGGCCCACCCCGCCCACCCGCGACCCACCCGCGACCCACCCGCGACCCACCCGCGACCCACCCGCGACCTACCCCGCGACCCACCCGCGACCCACCCGCGATCCAAACCACGTTCAAGGTACAAACCACCATTTTCGGCGCGCCTGCGGCGGGCTTTTTTTGGCATTCCTTCCAGGTGGAGAGCCCCCGCACCAACCCCGTGACCAACTCGCGACCACCCCGCGACCCAAACCACGTTCAGGGTACAAATTACATTTTTCGGCGCCTGCGGCGGGCATCTTTTGTATTCGTTTCAGGTGGAGAGCCCGCGGCCCACCCGCGACCACGTTCAGGGTACAAACCACATTTTTCGGCGCCTGCGGCGGGCATCTTTTGCATTCGTTCCCGGTGGAGAACCCGCGGCCCACCCGCGACCCAAACCACGTTCAGTGTACAAACCAATTTTTTTGGCGCCTGCGGCGGGCTGCTTTTGCATTCCTTCCAGGTGGAGGTGGAGAGCCCGCGACCCACCCGCGACCTAAACCACGTTCACTGAACAAACCAATGCCGCACAAGCGCGGCGGCGGATTTTTGCATGCCGTCTGAGCCCGCAAGGACCTCTTCAAGCCCCGCGCATCCACACCAGCCCGTCCAGCAACTCTGCCCTGGCGAGTTGCCTTGATCAGAGAAGGCGGGGAGCATAAAGTGGAAAAAAGGATTGCGTTGCAGTTATCTTGGGAAAGGAGGGGGAGGCAGGAGGAGTAAACAGGGGACGAGGAGAACGCGGAAGAAGAGAGGATGTAAGGAGAATGTGGAGAAAGAAAAGGAGGAGGAGCAGGAGGACGAGGAGGGGGAGGAGGGGGAGGAGGGGGAGGAGGAGGACGAGGAGGGGGAGGAGGGGGAGGATGATGATGATGGACGACAATGGGAGGACGATGATGGAGGCCGATGAGGGGGAGGACGACAATGGGAGGACGATGATGAAAGGACGAGGGGGGGAGAGGGAGGACGAGGAAGAAGAGGAGGAGGAGGAGGAGGACGAGGTGGAGGAGGAGGATGACGATGACGATGAGGACGAGGACGAGGAAGAGGAGGAGGAGGAGGAGGAGGAGGAGGAGGAGCGCCATCGACAGGGAAGGTGGGGGCCACGAGGTCCGCCGGCTCGACGACGCCCGCGTCGCCCGCGCCCGCCCCCTCACTCTTATCCGCAATTGCGGGGTGCTGCGCATATGTACTTTTCGGTTTTCCCCGAGGGTTTCTCGCGCCACGTCGACCTGCGAGCCTCCCCGAACCTCTGCCCGGGGAACGCTCGGACCAGAATTTCGCACCGAAGCCAGCGGTGGCGACGAGGGTCCCCCGGGAGGCGGAGACATGGGAAACCGGCTACAAGGTAACGGTATCGGTGCCTTTCGGCTTCCCATGAGGACCTCTCGCGCCACGTCGACCTACGAGGTCGTGGTCGCTGGGCGCGAGGAGGTCACGTCGATATCCGGGCGCGCTGCCGCGGGTGTCCGCCGCCGTGCCGCAGCCCACCCGGCGGCGCGCTGTCGCCTCGGGGCCCTCCTTCTCGGGAGCCTTGAGACGGGGGTCAAAACAAAGGCGGGCCAGCCAGAGCGCCGGAGTTTGCAGGAGCCTGCAGTGCCCGGGTCGCATTGACCCAGCCCAGACTTGGGTGCATGATCCTGCAGGGTCTTGCAGGATCTTGCAAAGCCTGACTGACCCGGGTTTGGATTGACCTGGATCAGTCGATCCCCTCCCTTCCTCTCCCGTGCCCGCGGCGGGCCATCCCGCTTCGCCCTCCCCCGTGCTCTTGTTTTGCACGGGCGCAGTCATGATGGGTCGATTTTCTATCACCGCGACCATAGGTAGGACGGAGGAGAAGGGAGGGCAGGGAGGTCCTCCTCCTCCTCCACCTCCTACTCCTCCTCCCTCTCCTACCTGTGGTAGTGGTGGATGAAAATCAGCCCAGCAAGTTGCTTCGCTCGGTAGCCCGCACTGGTCACCGCGTGGGGCCGTGCCCGTCGCAAACGTTGTGTGTGTGTGTGTGTGTGTGTGCGTGTGTGTGCGTGTGTGCGTGTGCGTGTGCGTGTGCGGGTGCGTGTGTGTGTGCGTGTGCGTGTGCGTGTGCGTGTGCGTGTGCGTGTGTGTGTGTGTGTGTGTGTGTGTGTGTGTGCGTGTGTGTGCGTGTGTGTGTGTGTGTGTGTGTGTGTGTGTGTGTGTGTGTGTGTGTGTGTGTGTGGGGGTGCTCGGGGCCCGCGAGGGCGAGGGCGTCCACATGTCCACGACCCCTCCCCCACCAGAAGTTTTGCTGTTGGCTTCCGTGCCTTGTGGACGGGCAGGGCCGGGGGGACTTGGGATGATAAGTGGATGCATGCTGGGCTTGATTCGACTACACGTAGGAGTGACCCTTCGCTGGAGTGACCTTTGCTGGGGGCCCACGGGGATTCCTCCGTTCGCCGGGCGCGATACGATAGTAGCGTCATGCGCGCTTGTGTTTAGCCCCCCCCGCGGCCCTGAAGAAGCCGCGCACCAAAGGTCACTCTCACCCACGGTCACTCCTTGCGTGTAGCCGATTGAAGCATCTGGGGACCACATCTTTCCTTCGCAGCAAGCGGAGCTGATGAAACAAGGAAGGGGGTCGATACTTCCCGACAGCTGCACAGCGCGGCAGCTGATCAATTCATTTCGACGTCGCCCTGCACGACACCCCGTATTGTGAGTGCTTTTCCGTCCACGAGTGCATCGCCCTCGAGCCCAGCCGCAGCGGCACGGGAGTTTGTGTAACCAAGTCGTACGGCATATTGTTCACAAAGAAGACGCTCATGAGAAGCGCCATCGAGGCCAAGTCCCGAGAAACGCAGGAGACGACTAGCAAGTCGCTGATCGAGTTCCTGTGCGCGCGGGCGGGTGACGGCTGGGCAAAACCTTCGCAGGTCAGAGTCGAGCAGGACGTCGTGGAGGCGTGGGAGCTGCAGCGTCGGGTCACCGTCTTCCATACGACGTGGCGGGCGCCCTTCCTGCCCCACGACGGACAGAAGCAGTGGCGCTGGGTGGACAGGGGGTACAGGAGCACAGGGGGCAGTATTTGGTTTCAGTACAGTCTCGCAGGACGTGCTGCACAGTCGATTCGAATGTAAGGCAGGCGCGCCCAGCTGTGACCGGTCGACGTGCGTAGGAACTGCTTCATGCCTGGGTGTGCGTGGCCAAGGGTGGGCCTGCAGCCTGCGGGGACCAGAACGGGAGGCCCACCGGGCGGGGGTCACACGCGGAGTGCCCATCTGGCGGGGCGACGCGGCGGGCCAGAGGACGCCATTTCTCGCTCGTACCCGCTGTGGCGGGGGACCGTCTGCTGAGTTTCAAACGCAAGCCTTCAATTTGTACCCCATCGGCAGTGAGGCCTTGACTAGCAGAGCGCGGCGGCACGGACTGGTTGATCTTGTAGGGGGGTGCTGGGCCACTATACGCTCGTCCGCAGGGCGTGCCAATTCGGGGGGTCTTTCGTCTGAGGAGGTGTGGGAGGATGAGGATGAGGATGAGGATGAGGATGAGGATGAACGAAGATGATGATGATAATGAGGATGAGGATGAGGATGAGGATGAGGATGAGGATGAGGATGAGGATGAGGATGTGGATGAGGATGAGGATGATGATGATGATGATGATGATGATGATGATGATGATGATGATGATGATGATGGTGGTGGTGGTGGTGGTGGGTGTGGTGGTGGTGATGATGATGATGATGATGATGATGATGAGGAGGAGGAGGAGGAGGAGGAGGAGGAGGAGGAGGACGAGGAGGAGGAGGGGGAGGAGGAGCGAAAGGCGCTGGAACAGGGACCGGCAGTGACGGGGTCCCGCATCGCAAGCCAGCGAGCCCCCTTGCGTGGGTGGGAGGGGGCGCCCGGAGCGGAGCAGCGCGGGCGATGTCGGAAGCCTTGAGACGGGGGTCAGTGCACACGGGGTCAGCCAGAGCGCCGGATTTTGCAGTATCCTGCAGGGACAGGGTCGCATTGACCCGAGTTTGGGTGCAGGATCCTGCAGGATCTGCCAGCATCCTTCGCATTGACCCAGGTTTGGGTGCAGGATCTTGCAGGATTTGCAGGATTCTGCAAGGTTTGACTGACCCGGGTCTGGATTGACCCGGGTCAGACGATCCCCGACGATGGCGGAATTCCGGCCGAGCTCCGTCGCCCTCGGGGCGCTGGAGTCGGCACTTCGAGGGGAGCGCGTCGGCCTCGGCCAGGTTTGGGCCCCCCAGTCGGAGGATAATTCTTGGTTTCCGTAGAATCGGCCTTTCGAGGGGAGCACGTCGGTCTCGGCCAGGTTTGGTCCCCCAGAGAGGCGAGAAGCTTTCGTGGTTAGTTTCGGTCACGCCCAGGGCCCTGACCTCCTAGCGTTCCCGGAGGTCCCTGGAAGTTTCTGGAGGCCTCTGGAGGTTTCTGGGGTCTCAAAGAAAGGACCGAAGTGCCCAACATTCTCGGATATTGCGGATGGTGCGCAAAAGCCGAACAGGGTCATGAAGGGACACTGCCATTTCTTGCTTTTCTTTTGTGTGTGTGGGGAATAACCAAGACGCAGCCAGGCAGCTGCGCGACCGTTGTCGTGCGGTCCCACGAGGCCAGTGTCGGACACAAGCGGCGCCACGCTACATACCCGTTGTCCAGAAGGTCGAGCTGGAATTGATGTTTTTGTTGATGTTGAGGATGATGATGCTGATGATGCTGCTGCTGCTGCTGCTGATGATGATGATGATGATGATGATGATGATGATGATGTGTTCATGTATGTAATCGTATGCATAAAACTGCTTCCGCTATAGACCGAGCCGTTCCCATCAGTAATATCATTCAAATTTTATGTGCGTGTGGGAAATAACCAGGAAGCGGCCAGACGGCCACGCGACCGTTGCCGTGCGGTCCCGCATGGCCTGTGACGGACACAGGCGGTGCCGAACTATTCAAGCATGGCCACAGTGGTCGAGCTTGTGCTAATGATGGCGATGATGAGTAAATTCTACAACTGTGAATTATGTGAGTGTCGCCACTGTTGTAAACACAAGAGTCACTCGTGCTAGCACTTTTCTGTTGTTGCGTCTGTGTGGCCTAGTAGCGCGAGGGTCGGAGTCCCACCTTGCCGTGGTAGGCTTGTGCAGATGCCGAGGGACTGGGCCCGTGGGGTGCTCTTCCTCCGCTCCATCCCCAGGGGCCGGACGCGCCACTGCTGGGCGGCACTCACCGAGCTGGAGAGGCCCGTGAGGGTCTCGGGGCCCGAGGCCCGAGGCGGGGCGAGAGCGCTCGTCGTGGCCCCTTCACGGCGCCCCCGGCCCGAGAGCCCCGCGGCAACGACGACGGTGGCGGCGACGCCGACGACCGCGACGTCCTCGTCGTCCCGAGGAGGCACCGGCTGCTCGGCGGGAAGGCCAAGGAGCCCTGCGCGCGGGCCGAGCGCCCGCCGCTGGGCCCCCCAGGCGGGCCCCCCTCCCTGCGCGGCTGGGCGGCGATGACGGCGACGACGGCGGCAGGAGGCAGGAGGCAGGAGGAGGCAGGAGGCAGGAGGCAGGAGGCAGGAGGAGGCAGGAGGCAGGAGGCAGGAGGCAGGAGGAGGAGGCAGGAGGAGGCAGGAGGCAGGAGGAGGAGGAGGAGGAGGAGGACGAGGAACAGGAGGAGGAGGAGGAGGAGGAGGAGGAGGGAGGAGGAGGAGGAGGAGGGAGGAGGAGGAGGAGGGAGGAGGAGGGAGGAGGAGGAGGAGGGAGGAGGAGGATGAGGAGGGAGGAGGAGGAGGAGCAAGATCTGAAGAACAAAACCGCGCCAGAGCTTTCTCCTCGAGTTCGGCATCGGGGGGGCCCGTTTCGGTCTCCAGGGCCGTCAGATTTCGATGTGAGGCGAGCCACCTGCCATGATGGATCCCAGGAGGGGTCGGTGGACTGCTCTTTGGCGGATTCCGAATTCCGGGAGAGGCCCAGGGCAAGGAGGAACAGCAAATCGACGATCATGTTTCCCGAAACAGCTTGTCTGTAAAGGTTCAGTGCGTTTCTTCGAGCGCTCGGTGGCGGAGCCCGGGCCCCCGAAATCGATGGCCCATCGTGGCTCCCCGTCGTGGCTCCCCATCGTGGCCCATCGTGGCCCCGCATCGCCCACCGCCCCCCTCCCCACATCGTGAAGCGTATGAAGTTGTTTGGGCCCTTTTGCCGCGAGGGTAGCCTTTCTCTGACTCGACCCTTGATGAGATGTATCCGTTCCGAGGGATCTATATTTACACTCCCAGATTCTAGACCCCGCATCAAATTCAGACGGGTATCCGAGCGCCATGCCGAAGCACGTGCTTGGGACTGGCAGATCTTCCCATGATCTGGAGTCATAGGTGATTTTTCTCCCCCAGTCCCCGATTTCCGTCCGAACAGTATGGCCGTTCAAAAGAAGGGGGAAACCCTGGGATACACCAAAAGGGGCCATTCGGACGCACCCCTACCGGGGATGGCCGCTCCCCCGTTGTATATCCCAGGGTCGGGCCCAACTTTTCGGGTTCATTCGAAAACGTCACAAGCCTGGGATATGGGTCGGCACATCTCCTGTCAGACCCATCGGGTGGGATGTCTTGTTGGGGAACCAACATGTCGGGTGTCGGGCGACATGTGGGGGATCGGGAAAGTGCAAGGGCGCCCCCTTGAGGGCGCGAAGTTCTTCGCGCCCTCGCGCTTCGCGGTTCGGCTCCGATTCCGTTGGGCGTTGCGCGATCTCAGGCCAGTGTGCTGTAGCGTTTGGTGTGTCTCAAGGAAAAATGTGTCGAGATGCCGGCTTAGGCCCAGGGGTTAACCAAGTCGATCGGGCAGAAGGGCAGAAGAGGCTATGATGAAGATGTCAGCCTCGTCGTCCCTCTCTCCCCTGGGGAGCGGCGCGAGGGCGCGAAGTTGCTCGCGCTCTCGCGCTTCGCGCAGCGCGAAGCGCGAAGTTAGGCGCCCTTGGAAAGGGGGGGTACACAATCTGCTGTGTGCGGCCCGTTCTGGCGCCGCAGCCTGGCGCTCTTTTCGATGCATGACCACCCCTGGCGCCTGGATGCGCTGGGGAAGCCGGGGCAGCCGGCTGCATGCAGCTGATCCCCTGACCCCCGCTTGTGCCACCCCTCCGTTCCGTCCGCCCCGGCACGGGATGTCATCCTCTCTGTCAGGGGTTGCTAAAGGTGCCCATTGGCCCAATGTGCGCCCAGCATTTCGCTCAACTTTGGAGCCCCTGGGGCCCTCGGGGCCTCGTGATGGGGGTGCTCTGGAGGCCGTGGGGGTCTCCGTGGAAGTCCTGGGGGCACCCCGGGCCAGGGGCACTTTCAGCAACTCCCGACTCCGTGCGGCCGCCAAGAGAGGGCTCGACTTCGCGAGCCTGCGCCTCCCTTGACGGCGCGCCCCCCCGCCCCCCCCTGGCCCTCTTCTCTCCCTGCTCCCCGAGCGGCCAAGGCACCGGGGTCTGACGCCCAGCCGGAGCACCGACCACGCCTCCCCTCACTCACGAAGAGCCCGAGGGGTTTCAGAGACTCTGCTGGCAACCCCTGGCATGAGCCCCTGCGCAAGCGTCGTAAGAGCCTTCGGGCCATGTGCCGTGGGGGGCCTACACTCCGAACTGGGTGTCGTCAGCTGCTTTGAGAAGCACCCCCCTGCAACTGAGACAGATTGCAGTCGGGAGCTCGGAGCTGTCGGGCCCCTCCAGCATGAGCTCCGATAGCGCTTGCACCTTGGCGCCGCTGGCAACCGGCTCACGTTTAATGGCCAGCGTCCGCGGCCCAACTCCATCCTCACATTTCGTTCTCCTCGGCTGTACGAGCCGACACAACTCGCACCGGGGGGGGCTGGGGCTCGAACTCGGGACGTGGGGTCGTGTAGAGTTCACCAACACAAGCCCGCCAGTCGCCTTCCTCGCGGTCCTGTCAATGGCCGTATCCTGGAAGTTAGTTCTCGCCCTCCTGGTTGCAATGGGGTGCTCCATTCGCTCCACGACTTGGAGATCCTGCTCGTGCCTCTTCCTGCTAGCGGCTTCCGCGCGAAACGTGCGCGCACCTCCCTTGGCCCAGGCATCCGCGTAACTATTGCCGTCCAGGTCGCGCTGAGAAATGCGCCCGTCGAGAATTGCATCTTCCCCAATATTTCTCTTGACCCTTAGCAGCGTGAGATGCGATGGCCAACACTCGCCCTCTCTCTCTCTTTCTCACCCGCCAATAACTACCTACATCCTCGAGTGTTCCTCCTCTACCTCTCGTTACCCCTGTGTGGACCTTCTTCACCTTCTTCTGACCATCTCGGGCCGTCGTGGAGGCATCTTGGGCCATCTTGGCGGCCTCTGTGGTCTTCTGCGGCCGCCTTGGAATCCTCGGAGAGGCTTTCAGAGCCCCAGGGTGGCGTCAGCGCGGCCCAGGAGGCCTCGGGAGGGGCGGCGGTGCATGCAAGGAAGTGTGAGAGGGTGGGGGTGGGGGCTTAGAAGACGTACAGAAGCCCTGCCAGACAGCACTTGGCAGAGGGTGCGGTGCGTGCCAGGGAGGTACGGTGGCGAATGTTGTTTGCAGCTTGGGGCTTCCTGGGCGATCTTGGAACCATCTTGCGGCCCGAAAAGCCCATTGGAAGCGAACATGCAGGAAGGCCAACATCATTTCGACAACCAAAAGCTTGAACCTGTTTTGCCTATCGGGGATGTCCTTGGGAGGCTCCCAGGCTATTTGGAGCTGTCTTGGGGCCGTGTGGTGGCCTCTTAGAGGCATGCCAGGGGCCACCTTGAGCCAACTTGGACCAGCTTGCGCCATCTTGGAGGCCATCGTTAGGGTTCCAATGATGCCCCCGCAAGGGCAATCTGATTCAGAAACATGAAGATGTGTTTCTTGGCTTTGAGCGAAAGGGTGGCATCAATGACAGTCCCACTGTCGGTTCCGGATGTGCCAGGTGCGCCATGCGAGCCGCGATCGCGCCAGGCGCGTCACGCTCGCAGAGTGAACAAGGCGGCGACAGATGCGCCAATGCACTTGTCAGCCCACAGTGTGCAATACGTAGACCTCCCCACCATCCCTGTGTAAAACCAGAGCAAAGTTTCGGCGGGGTGGTCGGCATGGTGTATACGTAGTGTGTGTAGCCACAATCAGGTTGCCTTGGTTTTTGATATGGAGGTGAGCGAGCGCACTGCGGCTGATCTGACCATCCCCCGCCGCTCCCGTCACCAGTCAGTGCGAAGTGGTCTCGGTGCGCGCGCTCGTTATCCAGATTTTGTCTCCATTTGCACGTCGTCGTACAGTTCGCCGGCGAGCGGGGGGAAGTAAGTTGGCGGGGCTTTTCAGAAGGCCTACAGTCTTCTGAGAGGTTTTCTGTGTCTTCGGGGAAGCGTCGTCCCAGAAGGCCGCGGGACTTCCGAGCTTTCTGAGAAGGCTCGCCCCTTCTCACTTCCCCGTGGGCTCGCCGCCGAATTGTCTTTCGACCGGGATGGCGGGGAGGGGGACGCATAGTCCCTGATTGGCAGCCGGTCGAGTGGGGGAGGGGGTTTATGCAAACAAGGAGCAGTGATGGAACCTTCGGCGAAGGGAAAGAAGGGGGTTGGACGAAGAAGCGCCCCAAGCCACTTGCGCCCCAGATCTCGGGGGGGAGGAGCAGAGAGAGGATGAGGAGGAGGGGTCGTCTCTGGTCCCTGGATGGGTGTCCAGCCGCTGTCGCTGCCCAGACCGAAAATTCAACATTGGTTCCCCGTTCCAGCGCCCGTGGCCAGCACGGCCAGCAGTGGCGTCCAGGTGCAGTTCCCCGAGGCTCGTGAAGCCTGTAATGCAACGGGTCCCCGGCTACCTTTCTCCTTCGTTGTGGTCTCCCGAGGCGGCAGGTCCGAGCCGTGCATCGGCTGGAAGGTCGTCAGTGCGCCCGAGGGGGGCCCGTGCGACCCCGATGGGTGGCAGTACGGCTTCGACTTCTACGAGGCGGCGGCCCTCCGCGCCAACGATGCTCCCAGTGTGGAGATTCCCGGGCTTCTTGGAAGCCTTTTCTCCAACGGGTGTTTGCGCATGTGGGCTTCTGGTTCTGAAGGCAGAACCTGGGCTGAGAGGGTGTCCCACCAGTCCACTCCGCGTCCAGTGTGTTGCTAATCTTGTGTGGTGTGAAGATGTATGGAGTGTGGAATGGGGTCGACTCGGAGCGTGCGGTCGAATCCAATATGGTCTGCAGGCGTGTCATGTGTGCGGGTTTGGCCTTGTTGATATTTTGCGTTGGGCGACTCGGTGGTATCCGATCGCGGACGTCTGGGCGCTCAATGCTAGTCGCGTGCAGAAGTGCTGTCATCCAAGTGAGGCGTTCCAAAAAGGGTCTTGCCTTCGAGGATCGAAGGAGTTGTCATCTCTTCTTCGGCGGAAGGCGGCAGAAGGGCGACAGAAGTAAAGCGAAGCCGCCTCCGCCAGCGGAAGCTCGGCGGGAGCCAGCGGAAGTAAAAACCCATGTCTTTAAAGAGAGGAGAACGCGTTTTTGGGTTTCAGGATTCCCAGGGTCGGTCAAGTAGCGCCGATTCCCCCGAGCAATTCCTGCCTTGCACGGGGGTGTTGGCCACACGCAGTGGGGGGTAGGGGGAGGGGGGGAAGGTTCCCTAAAGAGCACCCCTGCTTCTTAGAAGGCGCGGGCCTTCTCTATGCACGTAAGGCCGGCGCCTTCTAAGGAGCACCCCTGCTTCCAAGAAGCCTCCCCCCCCCCTCCCCCCCCTCGGCCCCCCCCCCTGGGCGCGCCGCCAGGAGTGGCGGGGCTTCGCCCCCCCCCCCCCTCCCCCCCTCCCCTCGGCGCCCCCCTCCCTCCCCCCCCCCCCCTCCCTCCCTCCCCCTCCCCCCCTCCCCCCCCTCCCCCCCCCTCCCCCCCCTCCCCCCCTCCCCCCCCTCGGCCCCCCCCCCCTGGGCGCGCCGCCAGGAGTGGCGGGGCTTCGCCCGTGGCCGGGTCGGTGGCGGTGCGGTCTCGCCGAGTGCCCCCCGCGGGGGGCCGCCTCCGTGGGCGCCTCCGTGGCTCGGCCGTTGCCAGCCCGTGGGCGCCTCGCGCTGCCCACCGCACAGCTCGAGCCGCACGGCTTCCACCGCACACGGTGCAGTCGGCCTGGATTGGCAGGTCGGCCCTGCCAAGCGAAGGGTGCCCTCGTGTCCCGTCTTCAGAGGCCCGTGCCCTCTGCACTCCTATGGCAGTCTAGCCCTCGGAAGGGTCTTGTGTCCTCTCGCGTGCCCTCTCCAGTCGAGTCCGACTGCAGCTTGCACCAGCTATTACACAACATTGTTTGCATCACCTGCCTTAGCTCATAAGTGACACCACACAGCTCGCAGCCTGCACCACATAGCTTACGCCACATAGCTTGCACCACATAGGTCAACACATGCAGCTTGCACCAGATAGTTTACACAACATACTTTGCTCCCAGTTTCCCTGTCCTGTCCCTCTCCCTCCCTTTTTCCTTTGCCTCTCCTGTCCCTATCTGTGTCTGCTTCCCTTCCCCTGCCTCTTCCCTTTCCTGTTCCTGTTTCGTCTCAACTTCCATTTCCCCACTCTTCATGTTTCTCTTCCCCTTTCTTTGTCTCTTTCCCTTTTCCCTCTTTCCCTTCCCCTCCCGTTTCCCCCTAGCTTTTTCCCTCTCCTTCTCCCCCCTCTCTTTCCTATCTCCTGGTGTGTGTTCCCTCTCGCGCTCCTGTTCTCGTTCCCTCTGCAGCTATCTTCACATGTCGACCTCTCTTTCAGTTTCCCTGCCATTCCCTGCCCATTTCCTTTTCCCTTCGTTCTTTCCATCCGCCTTCCCTCTACCAGTCCCCTGTTTCCCTTCCCCTGTCGCTTCCCCTCGCCTTGCCCTCCCTTTGCCCTTCCCCTTTCTCTTGCCATCCCTTTTTTTCCTTGTGTACATGTATACTTGCGTATACATCTATACATCTACATCAGTATATCATATAACAGGGAACCGGGCCCCCGGCCCCGGGGGCGGCCCAATTCCCCCCCCTCGTTTTTATTCCCGGGGAGGGGCCGACCCTTTTCGGGGCGCTTCGGGGCCGGGCCCGCTGTTGGGGGGCTGCAAATCGGCGCTCAGAGCGATCGATCAGCCGTGTGGGCGCACCACTGGTCGTCCGGCATGCCCGTGCGGCCAGCGTCCTCGTCCCTCGCGCAGTCGATGGTGACGCCCTTGCGGAGCGTCTGACCCTGCGACAGCGTGGAGGTGAGGTAGGACGCGTGAGCGTGAGTCAGAGCGAGTCCCGGGCGGCGCACAGTGCGTGGCCCCGAGCTCTGCCACGTGAACTCTTGCTCGCTGGGCCTGAACATCAGCAAACTCCGGGCCCGTGCCTTGGCCTGGCCGTCGTCGTCGGCGTCTTCGGCGCTCTGTCGCAGCACCTGTGCCCGATTCGGCTGACGATGGGTTACCACCGCCAGCCCGGAGACAAATATTCCCCCCTGCCCCCGATTCGGCCGAGGATGGGTTACCACATCTGGCCCGGACGCAAGGGTTCCCCCCTGCGCCTGGTTCGGCTGACGATGGGTTACCACCGCCAGCCCGGAGACAAGGGTTTCCCCCTGCCCCCGATTCGGCTGACAATGGGTTACCACCGCCAGCCTGGAGACAAGGATTTCCCCTTGCCCCCGCTTCGACCGATGATGGGTTACCATCCCCCGCCCGGACGCAAGGGTTTCCCCCTGCGCCCGGCCGCCGTCGTCGTCCTCACCTCCTGTTCCCCCTCTCCCTCTTCACCTGATGGGTCAGGCGAATCGCCCTCTGAAGAACGCATAGGGAGGGGGCTCCCCCGCCTGAGACCTCCTCACAGTTCACTCACAGACGAGGCTCCCCGCCGGATAATTCCCCCATATTCAGGCTTCGGGAGCCCCAAAGTGACGACCCGCTGAACGGGGGTTGAGGTGCGGGCGGGACGAGCTGGGCAGCTAAACTGCCCAGCCGGTGATCCGGGACATCATGTTTTTAGTCCGGCTGCGGCCGGCTACGGGGTTGAGGACGACCCGCTCGGACTAAAAACATGAAGTGCAGGCCCCATAAGGGGGGGGCTCCCGCCTGAGACTTCCCCACAGTTCACTCACAGACGAGGCTCCCCGCCGGATGTTTCCCCCATGTTCAGGCCTCGGGAACCCCAAAGTGGCGACGGTTACAGGTTCGAGGATGACCCGCTCGGATGAAATATTCAACTATGTGCAGTTGTGGGTACCGCAATTGTGAATATCTTCTTCGGTGAAGCTCTCTATGGGGCCACGAAGCGCTGCACTGGGTGGGGGGAACGCATGCGGGCGGTAGCGCTGGGGCCGTCGGTGGAGCTCCCTATAGGGCCACGAAGCGCTGTACTGGGTGGTTGAAAATGGCAAATTGGGTGTGTGGGGCGCATGCGGGCGGTCCCACTGGGGCCTTACGTGGAGCTCCCAATGGGGCCACGAAACGATGTATTGGGTGGGTGAAAATGCTAAATTGGGCTTCCGGGGCGCCTGCGGGCGGTCCCACTGGGGGCTTCGGTCCTTATGGGGCCACGGAACGTTGTATTGGGTGGATGACAATGCCACATTGGGTGTGCGGGACGCACGCGGACGGTCCCACTGGGGGCTTCGTTGCAGCTCCCTATTGGGGCCACCAAGCGCTGTACTGGGTGGGTGAAAATGTTAAATTGCGTGTGTGGGACGCATGTGGGCGGTCCCACTGGGGGCTTCGGTGGAGCTCCTTATTGGGGCCATGAAGCGCCGCACTGGGTGGGTGAAAATGCCAAATTGGGTTTCCAGGGCGCCTGCGGGCGGTCCCGCTGGGAGCTTTGGTTGAGTTCCTTCCTATGGGGCCACGAAGCGTTGTGTTGGGTGGGTGAAAATGCCAAACTGGGTGTGCGGGACGCACGCGGACGGTCCCACTGGGGGCTTCGGTGGAGCTCCTCCTTATGGGGCCACGAAACGCGATACTGGTGGATTGGGTGTGCGGGACGCATGTGGGCGGTCCCACTGGGGATTTCGGTGGAGCTTCCTATGGGGCCACGAAACGCTGTAGTGGGTGGCTGAAACTGCCAAATCGGGTGTGTGGGAAGCATGTGGGCGGTCCCACTGGGGATTTCGGTGGAGTTCCCTACTGGGGCCACGAAACGCTGTACTGAGTTGGTGAAAATGTTCAAGTGCGTGTGCGAAACGCATGCGAGCGGTCCAACTGGGGGCTTCGGTGGAGCTTCCCTATGGGGCCACGAAGCGCAATACTGGGTGGGTGAAAAAAAATGCCAAAGTGGGCTTCCGGAGCGCATTCGGACGGTCCCAGTGGCCACGAAACACCGTACTGGGTGTGGCGGACGCATGTGGCCACCCCCACTGGGCCTTTGGGTGGGGCTCCCTACGGGGCCACGAAGCGCTGTACTGGGTGTGGCGGACGCATGTGGCCACCCCCACTGGGGCGTAATGTGGAGTTCCTTATGGGGCCACGAAGCGCTGTACTGGGCGTGGTGGGCGCATGTGGTATCCCCACTTGGGCTTTACGTGGAGCTTCCCTATGGGGCCACGAAGCGCTGAACAGGGTGCGGCGGACGCATATGGCCACCCCAACTTGGCCCATAGGCGGGGCTCCCTATGGGGCCACGCCACGCTGTACTGGGTGTGGCGGACGCATGTGGTACCCCCACTGGGCCTTACGTGGAGCTCCCTATCGGGCCACGAAGCGCTGTACTGGGTCTGGCGGACGCGTGTTGTACCCCCATTGGGGTCCTACATGGAGTTCCCTATGGGACCACGCTGTACTGGGTATGGCGGACGCATGTGGGAGGGGGGGCAGCGGGAGGAGGAGGAGACGCAGGGACCGTCTCTTCAAAACGAGGACCCAACACCACAGACCACAGGATGGTTGGGAACATGTGCGGGCCCCATAGAGAGGGATCTCCCGCCTGAGACTTCCTCACAGTTCACTCACAGACGAGGCTCCCGCGTGATACTTCCCCCATATTCAGGCCTCCGAAGCCCAAACGTGACGACAGTTACAGGTTCGAGGATGACCCGCTCGGATGAAAAACATGAAGCGCGGGCCCCGTAGGGAGGGGCTCCCGCCTGAGACTTCCTCGCAATGTATTGACAAACGAGCCTCCCGCCTGATACTTCCCCCCTATGCAGGCCTCAGGAGCCCAAATGTGAAGACACTTACAAGTTCGAGGATGACCCGCTCGGATAAAAAACATGAAGTGCGGGCCCCATAGGGAGAGGGCTCCCGCCTGAGACTTCCTTGCAATTCACTCATAGACGAGCCTCCCGCCTGATACATCCCCTATATTCTGGCTTCAGGAGCCCTAACGTGACGACAGTTACAGGTTCGAGGATGACCCGCTCGGATGAAAAACATGAAGTGCCGGCCCCATAGGGAGAGGGCTCCCGCCTGAGATTTCTGCATAAATCACTCAAGGACGATCCTCCCGCCTGATACTTCCTCCATATTCAGGCTAGCGAATGAGTGAGTGAGTGAGTGAGGGAGTGAATGACTGAATGAGTGATGATGATGGTGAGGATGTTGCAGATCATGAGTGAGTGGGTGAGTGAGTGTGTGATCGACTGATGGTCAAGGTGATCAAGATGGTCTGTGTGTGAGTGAGTGTGAATGTGAGTGAATGTGTGAGTGATGATGATGGTGATTGTGATGATGATGATGTGTGAAGGAGTGAGTGGGAGTAAATGAGTGAGTGAATGATGGTAATGATGCTACTGATGTTGATGATAATGTGGTGATGATGCTTCTGAAGTTGACGGTGATACGTGTGTGTGTGTGATGGTGGCGTGATGACTGAGTGCATGAGTGATGAGGTTGAATGGGTGAGTGAGTGAGTGAGTGGGTGATGATGTACTGTGTGTTCTGGTTCTTGCGCCGGGTGTCTAGAGAAAACAAGAAGCCCATCTTGGATGTAGGGAAAATATACATGTAAGTTAGAACCTGGACGGGAAGTATTGTATGGCTTCACGAACAAACAATGATGCCAGCCTGTGCCATATCCCAGCCCGATGATCCCAGTGGCTTTCCACGTGCGAAACAATTATCCCAAGGTCTACTCTTCGGTGATTCCAGCTCTTTTGCATTTGAAAGGGAACTTTTGTCCTGGCGAAGTAGTGGGATCGACAGGGAGTGAGGCCGATTTGTATTCTGATAGTTTGGTCGATGGTAATCCGTGTGGCCGGTAGATAGCTACATCGTGACGCAGAATACATATAGGCATACACAAATATACAATCTGTGTCGCTGGATTTGTAGATCATGAACCCGATCCGACGCCAATCGCACGCCGAAGGTCGCACCTCTCCCGCAACTTCGTTATCACCCGAACGAACCAACGAACGAACTGCCATACGCCGGAGCGCGTGGGCAAAAGACAATGCCAGCCTGAACTCGCCGCTTTGCGGGAGCGACTGCACGTCGGCTGTCTCATAATGCACAGCGTGCGCGATCGGAGGAGGAGGAGCAGCAGCAGCAGCAGGAGGGGAGGGAGGAGGAGCGAGAAAGGAGGGACGGCATAGTATACATAAGCTCCTGGCTCGACGGTGCCAGAGCGCACGGGCTAGAAAGCCTGTTCTGGGTCCGGCCCCAAACTCTCAGTGAAACGTCGTACGAAGATTTCCCATTTGGGGGGCTCCCGCACGTACTGCATGACGTGCTCGTCTGATGCGAACGCACCCGAACTGCAGTTGCGCAGGCACGATGCCCATGCATTCATCGGTCTACCCCGCCTCCGCTTGAGCGACGCTGTGGCCGAGCGGATCGAACCATCTTGAAAAGTAAGCTGTCTCAGAAAATCTTGGTTAGAAGCTCTGCCAATTTTCCCGAACAATGTCAGCTCATGCCTCAATAACTGCGCTGTGTGTGGCTGTTGCCCTGCACGTTGTAGTACATCCTTGTTTGGCATTAAAGGTATGCGTTCACACAGATATGTAAAAGACTTCTCCTCTCTCTTCCTCGCTGTTTCTTTTTCTCGTTTCTTTTTGTTTGTTGTTTTTGTTCCTTATCTCTCTCTCTCTTCCCTTACTCCCTCCCTCTCTCTTTCTGTCTCTCCCTATCTTCATCTCGGCCTCAGTTCCTCTCTTCCTTTCGCCCTCTCTTCCTGGCTGTCTCTCTAGATCTCTCCCCCACTCCGAGATTCCCTCTCTTGCTTTTTTCCTGTGTCCTTTTCCGTTTCCAGTTTCCTCCGTCTCGCTTGTTCGTCCCATTTCTCCAGCACGGGTTCGTCCACGGCCGCCTTCCATTTAAGCGGCCATTTTCGCCCAAGCATTCGGGCTCGAGCTTGGCCCTTGCCAGAACTGCTGCGGTGGCGAGCCTCCTTGCAGAGTTCTGTGCGTAATCTTCGCGGGTTTGGGCCAGGGGATGCTCTGAACTTGCTCAGAATGTGCTTCGACGAGATCGAACCTGGCCTCGAGGGTGTCGAGGACAGTGGCTCCGACAGCGACCAGTTGGACTTCCCGCCGCCGCCACTGCCGGCTGGAGTGCGAAAGACAGCCGTTCGGCACGCGTCGTCTTGTTCGTTCATGAAGCGTCCACGGACGGGCGACGAAGTCCTCATCCATTACGTGGGCAGTTGGGCCGCCGATGGCTCCGTGTTCGATTCGTCACGCGACAGGGGGGAACCGCTGCGGTTCGAGGTAGGGAAATGCGAGCTCATGGCAGGCTGGGATTTCGGAGTGCGCACGATGCGCGTGGGCGACCTTGCTCGCTTTGCGCTGGCACCCGAGTTTCTGAAGGAATTGGGCTGTGTGTGTGGTGGCCAGCTGGCAACAGGCGGAGCGCTAGTCTTCGAGGTCGAGCTGCTCGAATGGGTGAGTTGCGTGGATTTGTTCGGCGATGGCTCGGTCATTAAGCGCATGGAGCAGCGGCCCACTGACAGGCGCCACCCAGTCCTGGGTCAAGTGTGCATCCTTGGGTATCGGATTTCCGTTGCCGAGGACGGGAGGGTGCTAGAAGAGCAGGACGCATTGGAGCACACCATTGTGGATCTGGCTGAGCGCCTCGAAGTTGTTGCGGCGGGCGGCATGGCATTGAGGGTCGGGTTACTCAACAAGGCATTGATGTCGATGAGGCGCGGGGAGCGGGCGAGGCTGCAGCTGCGCGCCAGCGACATCTTGGACGATGACCATCAGAAGACGCGTTGTTTCACCGACGACGCCTTGCTACACGTCGAGCTCGATCTCCGCGAGTTCGTGGAGGACTCAGACATATCGCGAAAGCCTGAAATCTTGCAGAAAAACATCCACACTTCTGACCTCACAGATGCTTGATTGTTCCTCACCTCCTGCCTCCCTTCGATGTCGCCGGCCAGCGGTTACCCCTCACAGGTGCCAGCGTGTTTTTTGCAGCAGTTCAGGCTCTCGGGCATCGTTCGAGCGGGACGGCTCCGTTGTGAAGCGGTCGCTGGCCGCCCGCGACTCCTGGCCGGCGTGCAAGGACGGTGGCAGGTGCACGCTGAGGGTGTCGTCGGTGAGGGCCAGCGGGGAGGCCGTGGCCCAGGACAGCACCTTGTGTTTCATCGTGGGCGATGGGCAAGTGTGCGATGCCCTCGAGTGCGCTGCATCGTCCATGAGGGTTGGCGAGGTCGCTGTTGTGACTTGCCATGTGCCAGACATGTGGGAAGGCTCCCAGTTCTCGCCAGCTTGCGCTTCATCCGTTTCTTTTCATTTGCAGCTGGAGCTCTACGAGGAGGGCCCTTGGGAGAGAGCGAGGAGTGACAGGGAGAAAGTCGCCTTTCATGCCTCTCGGAAGGAGGTGGGCATGGCTCTTTTCAAGGCCGGCCGGTTCCGATTGGCGGCTCACCGGTTTGGCAAGGTCCACGAGCTGCTAGGCTACATTGACTTCTACCGCAACCGGCACCCTTGCAGCGAGCTCAGGGCGGAGGTGGATGAGCTGAAGCTAGAGAGCCAGAAAACCGCAGATTCAGACGAAGCTTGGTACGTCCGCGGACTGTTTCTCCGACAGCGCGGGACCCCCACCCCACGCCCCTCCCGAGCGCACAAATCGTCAAACGAAGATCGGCGAAAAACATGATGAACACTGGCGAAGGGTCCAACCCCTAGCGGCTTCGTGTGATGTTGGTGATGGACCATTCCATGAACGGCCAGTGTGGGGGTTGTGTTAACATATGGTTGTGAGGTTGCGTACAAACTTCCCACTTGGGGCCGTATGTGGAGCTCCCTAAAGGGCGCGAAACGTGTAATGGGCGCGCCGAAATGCGCGGGGGAATGCGTCCAAACTTTCCCTTCGTGGCCGTCGGTGGGGCTGGCGCGGGGTGTGTGCGCCGAAAAAGGTGGAAATACGCATGCAAACTTGCCCAGTAACGCCGTATGTGGAAATCTGTAATTATGGGGGCCCGATCCTCAAGAGAGGTGTGCCGAAACGGGCGGCGCCGCCATGCGGACCCTGCTGCCGGGGCCGTAGTGGAGCTCCCTGTTCCCTGTGGGGCCACGAGCCTCGTAAGGGATGAGTGCCGAAATGGGTGGCGCCGTCATCCTGCCACTGGGGCCGTCGTGTCAGCTCCCTATGGTGCCCCCAAGCGCGCGAAGGGTGCCCCGGACTGGACGGCGCCGCCATGCGGACACTCACGCTGAGGCCTTCGCGTGGAGCTCCCCACAGGAGGGCACGATCCCTGTGAGGGGTGTGCTGGCATGGGCGGCGCCGCCACGCGGACCCTGCCACTGGGGCCGCAGGTGTACCTACTCATGGGGCCACGGTCCTCAGGATGGATGGGCGGCGCCGCCATGCGGACCCTGCCACCTGTGCCGTAGGTGGAGTTCCCCCCCAAACGCGAAATGTGTGCGTGGTGCGCCGCAATCGGGGCAGTGGTGCGTGCGCGATTGCTGAGGCCGTATGTGGAGCTGCGCGTGGGGCACCACACGTGTGCGGGGTGTTCCCAAATGGGCGCGGCGTCGCCATGCGTCGGCGTCCCGTCCCACTGAGACCGTATGCGGAGCTGCTTCTTGTCGGGCGCGAAATGTGTGAGGGGTCTGCCACAATCGGCGCGTCGCCGCCTTCGCCAGCGCCCACCGAGGCAGTAGGTGGAGATCCCCATGTGGCCACGAAGCGTGTGAGGGGCGTGCCGACTTGGGGGCGCGTGCGCCATACGTTGGTGCTCATTGAGACCGTAGGTGGAGTTCCTTCTGGGGCCACGCAACGTGTGAGGTGTGTGTGTGTGTGTGTGTGTGTGTGTGTGTGTGCTGGCTTGGGGGCGCGTGCACCATGCGCTTGCGCCCCCTGCGGCCGCAGGTGGAGCTCCCTGCGAGGCCACGAAGTTTGTGCGAGGTGTGCCTAACTGGGGGCGCCAGAACGTGTGAGGGGTGTGCCGAATGCGGGGGCTGGTGCGCCAAGCGGCCGCGCCCACTGAAAGCGTTGGTGGGGCTCCATGGAGGGCAACGAGACGTGCGAGGAGCCTGCCGACATGGACACGCGGAAAGCAGAGGAAGGAAGGACGCATCGGTGGCGAGTCTTCGGGGGGGAAGCGAGAAGGGGGCGGACCTTCTCAGAAGGCTCGGGGGGCCTCGGGCCTTTGCGAAACTTGTCGGAAGGCCGGAGGGCTTCTGAGAGGCCCCGACGCCCTCTGAGAAGGCCTTCGCCTTCTCACTTCACACCCTCGCTCGCCGCCGAAAGGAGGGGGAGGAGGAGCGGTGGGACAATAGAAGCACCCTTCCTCAGCGCGCGAGGCGTGCTAGGGGCGGCGCCGAAGGCGCCGCCCAGGGGTGTGTGGGGAGCGTGCTCGGCGCCAGCGGAGACACCGCCCGCGGGCTTCCGAAGTTTGCTGTTCCTGGACCTTTCCAGGGGCGTGTTTTGATCAGAACTTCGCGGCGGATGCAGGGGAGTGTGTTTTTGTTTTTACCCTTTGGGTCATCGCGAGCGTTATGCCCCCCCCTCCCTACACCCCCCTTTCCCCCTCCTCCCTCCCCATAACGTAACGCTCCTCCTCCCCCATTGCGTCCCCAGCACCGCCGCAGTGCGTCGGGAACCGCAGTCTGTGGTGCCAGACTCACATGTCGAGAGTGGGCGTTACGTCATGCCCCCCTCCCGACCCCCCCCCGACCCCCGCCCTCCACGCCCCCACAACAGCGCCACGAAGGAGAAACTGTTCTCCAGGCGTGGCCAGGAGGGGCCTCCCAGAGGCCCTGATAACGAAGACGGAACAACAGCTTCGAGCCTTCATGCTTTTCTGGTTCTCTGCAAGCGTTCCAGTATGCTGAACAGGGCACTGTGCCTGCTGCGGGTAGGTCATTTCCACGGCGCGCTGCGGGCATGCAATCGCGTCCTCGAGGACAGCTTGTGGAGACTGTGAGGGAGGAGGTGGTCCTAGTCTAGACCTCCGGTGTAGTGATTTTGTTCGCGACGCGGGCATACGTGGGCTCCCAGATTTCTCGGCCCCATACCTCAGGACAGTTTTGCTCCGTTCTTGCTGGTCTCAGGGGTTGAAGGGTCCCTCGGCTGGTGTGATTCCAGTCGCGATGTGTGTCTTTCCTGGCCATCCCTCGTCCTCGTTTTGAATCCGCAGCGCCCCGCGTCCCACTCCTTCCTCCTCCTCCTCCTCCTCCTCCTCCTCCTCCTCCTCTCCTCCCTACCATTGCCCTCCGCATGTCCATCAGCCACAATTCGGTGCACCCCGCGCACGCTTCGCGGCCTCCTGAGGAGCCCTCCCGAAGGCCCCAGCGGGAAAGTTCGCATGGCGGCGCCGCGCCCATCTCGGCACACCGTTGGCACGGCGGTGCCTCGCCTGTTTCTTTCGGCACACCCACAGGGTGCCCACCGAAGGCCCCAGTGGGAAAATTCGCGTGGCGGAGCCGCACAGAATTTCGGCACACCTCTCGCACGCTTCGTGACCCCATAGGGAGTTCCCCTCCTTGGTCCCGCTTTCCTTGCGGTGCTCAGGCCTGCATCTGGTTGGGTCCTTCGCCAGTATAATTTCCGTGCCGCCCAGTGGTCCGGCGAGGGTTTGGGGGGGAAACTGGAGGATTGGTTTGTGTGACTTGGCGGCGTGCACAAGGGGGTGGGGCGGTGGGGGTGTCCTTAGGACCTCACCCCCCTGTGCGTGCCGCCATGTCTTGGAGCCAGAGCCCTCCTCTTGCAGCGCCCGATACGGATATTGGCCTCCTAGAGGACCACAGCTCTCAGGACAGCAAGGCCCTCTTCTGGGGGAACGAAGAATGACGTAAACATACAAACTCGGAGCTCTGCGCGGATTTCTCGGGTCGGCGCTGGTCCAGCGCGGATCCGAGGAATCCGCGCGGACCTCCGATTTTTATGTTTATGTCATTGTTCGTTCCCCTATCTTCCGCCGCGCCAAAGCGCACCTTGGCCTCCGGGACTGCGCGGCGGCGCTGCGGGATGCCCGCGCCGCGCTGGCGCAGGAGCCGCGCAGCGCGGAGGTGAGCGCGCTGCTGGCCCAGATCAAGAGCCAGCCTGGCGGCGCACACGGAGTGGTACGGGGCAAGGGGGGGAGACCTCGTGAGACTCGAGGGGGGGATCGACTGCAGAACTGATCTCCCCTGACACTGATTGCCCGTCGAATGCGTAGAAAGCGCCGTCGATCTACGGAGCAGTCTACGGATTTTTTTTTGGTAGGTTCGATGCAGCAATCAAATCTGGGGTACACCAGTCCTGTCGCCGACTCGAAGGACGGCCATGCCCCGGTGCAGCCCTCCTTCTGTCAAGGTGGTGGGCCCCACCCTGGCTTCCCAGGATAGGCCTGGGGGTGTGGTGAGATTGCCGACGAGCTGGGGTGCACCGTCTCGGCCAGGGACCGTTTTAGAAGGCAAGGGACGGTCCTTAAAAGCCCACCTGCTTTCTGAGAGGCCTTCTGAGAAACCTCCGATCCCTCCCGAGAATCCTTGCCCTCTCAGAGGGCCGCTCCCTGCCCGAGCCCGTCCCCTTGGGGTGCGCCGCCAGCCAGCTGAACGAGGAGGCAGTGGACACTGCGCCGATGTACGCCAGGATGTGTCAGGGTCTGGGGGGTCTCCCACACCCGCTGGACGTCGACTGACGAGTCAGAAGGCGGAAGACCCTTCCTGCCTCGGCCCTCGCCTTGTCTTCCGCTGGTGCTCCTTCTCAACCTGTCTGGTCGTCCTCGGCGTGTGCTCATTCCTCCTCCTCCTCCTCCTCCTGCTGCTGCTGCTGCTCCTCCTCCTGAACCGATCTTCAGATGCACATCTTTGTAGCAGTCTGCGCAGGAGAGGGCCGTCCCACTACCACCCCAATGACAATGCGCTTACTCAAGTTGCGCAGGCATGCACACCTCGCCAAGAGGAAGTACTACACGGACAAACTGGCCCCATGGCCACTCGTTGACAATTTGCAGTGCGACGCGGAACAGTACGCTTATCCCCCAAAAAACCCTTGTGCCCCCGCGGTAAGGAATCTGACTGCACAGTCCAGTCTCTGCGCCAACCACGCATGCTCAATGCGCGATTCCATCACCAGCATCATACCTTCCCCAACGAGACCCGGACGCGCTGCATCAGCGCGGTGGAGCAGGACCGTACCGACATGCTCACCATCACGGCCAAAGCCATGGCCACTGCATCCCAGTGGGGGCGCATGCGGGACGTGTGGGAATTGCCCAGGAAGTTACTCCCGGCTGCGGGCTACAAGAAGCAAAAGTACCAGGCTTCATAACCAGCACCTGTGCGTCGCACCAAGGAGGGCGAACCCATCGCAACTTATGCTGAGTTGGGCTTGGACAAGATCAACGCCTTCGCGGCTACTGAACGTGCGGACGTCATGCAGTGGGCCGACCTCGAGGAGATCTACGACAACGCTGCTTGTGCTATCCATGACACCTACTGCAAGGTAGTCGACCCCGCATCGGTCAACACCTTCGAAGGCTCAAGACGCAACTGGCCCGATCATCCAGGGGCGGCGCCAACGGACCGGAGGGCATCTGCGACGACCTAGCCGCCAATGCCCCCAGGGCGATCGCCAGACACCTACACCCCCTCCTCACCAAAGCCACGCTAATCCAGCAGGAGCCGCTCCTTGCTAAGGGTGGCATTGCAGCGGGCGTCTTCAAGAACAAGAGCTCCCCAGCTTACATCGAGACCTGCAGGTCTATCCTGGTAGGGCCCAACATTATGACACACTGCTGCGCCTTCATGCGCGGACAACTAAGAACAACCATCGCCGAGCTCTACCAGGATTGAATGCGTCGAGGCAGGCGTGACAGAGACGCCACCATGGCCACGCATGTTATCGGCTCCGTCCTACATGTGGCTAGAGCCTTTGAGATGACTGCTATCGTTCCGCTCTTCGACCTGGAGAACGCTTACCGCGCAGTCATCAGAGACGTGGCGCTACCCGCGAGTGCGGGCCAGGTCGCGCTGAAGGACCAGCTTGGCACATATGAAATCCCGGCCGCATTGCTGGGGGCGGTAGAGCTACTAGCGCAGTGCAATTCCCACCCATCACAACTGACACCGCCAGCCCACATGTGGTGCCACTGCTAGTACAAGCCCACCTTGGCACCTGGTTCGCGGTCGTGGGGCTCCCGTTGGTAGCCAGGCCCACGGCGGGTTCGCGTCCAGGGTCGAGTCTGGCCGATTATATTTTCAGCGTCCTCCATTCGAAAACACGGGCTACAATCAGGAGCGCACTATCTTTGCAGGGACTACTGCTGGATCTCTTACAACTTGACCGGGCGCACCTATTACTGAGGGATGCTGACGACCCCTACTGCGCGATGGATTTGACTTACGCCGACGACAGGCTTCTTTACTTTACGCAGGCTAACGATCTGATTGACCTACAAGCCTCACGGATCGCTTGTGCTAAACACGGGTCTGGCCCAATGCGGCCCCGCTCCCCGGCCACGCTGAGGCAAGTCACAGGCGCTGCTCAGCGTGCGCAGTCAAGGCCAGCGCTGGGCCAAGACCAAGCTGTACAAAGACATGGGAGCCAAGTTGCATCTCCTACAACACGACATCACCATTGAGCTGGCTACCAACGCAAAGTACTTCGGGGCGATGATTTACGCCGACCAGACTAGTGGAGGTCGAATATCGCCAACTCATGAATTCGCAAGCCTCTGGCCCTCCACGCAAGGCCCTATACCCGCATGTGGCCATCACGCCCGATGGCAAACCCTATATGGCAGATGCACTTGCGCTCCCACGCCTCACTCACAACGCCGAGGCCTGGGAGCCGCCGAACACGAAGGAAGCTGCATCACTACATGGTACTTACATCAAGCTTTACTCAGGGGCCGCCGGCGTACTTGCCCACGAACAAGCGGAACTACACGCATTACTGGCAACAAAATCTTCGCGGATACGGACAGGATGGACGTCCCATTCTGGTTGCGCTGCCGCAGGTTACAGTACTTCGCGCGAGCCATGCACTGCCCCCAAAAAGCTCCTGATGATGATGGATATATTATTCCATGTTGGCTTCCGCTGGACCACGCAATTTCAGCGACCTGGACTGGTTCGAACAGTTCAACGACTACTAGGACACGAACTCCCCCGCCACTGCTCAGGACTGGTTCAGGGTCATTTCGGGCAACGTTGGAACGGCGCTCAGATGCACTGACGCCCGCTGGAGGGCTGCCACAGACAGGTGCCGTGACCACACTGAACACATGGTCTGGCGCCGTTTTTTTCACCGCGCGCCTGGAATTACAAGGCGTGCCAACCTCGCCTGAACACGCGCCTGTCGAGGGCAACCAGCTCAAGTGCCCATGTTCAGAATGCAACGCCCTGCTGGCCACCAGAAGTGCTTGGTCCATTCGCGCGGTCGAGTGCCACTCGGTGGGTGATCGCATCAAACGCTATGTGGGCTCTGGACTGCGCCGCGCATGCGGCGCGGACTTCCACGCGCGCCCGCGGCAACTAGCACGCCCAACCAAACGCAAGCGACGCTGAGCATGCCTCGCGCGTCGGCGCAGCCCTGGGCCCTCCACGCAGCAAGTGGGCGATTTCAGCGACATTGGCGCAGCGGCGGGGGCAGCCTTCCGCGAGGAGGGCTACTGCGACGAGAAGGCCACGCTGCCTGCTATAGAGATGCGCGGGGCGCCCAAGTTGCCACTGCCAGAGGGGCCTTGGGTCGATGATCTCAGGCTGCCACTGGGCCCGATCCCCGCGAAAGGCGCACCCGACAGCGCATGCGTTGTCGCAGTTGCGCAGCGCATCGCCGAGCACGAAGTGCATTCTTTCCTGCGCTTACATTCTGGCCGAAGACGGGAAGGCGACCAATCAAATTT